GGGGGGGCACTCAACGCCAAATATTAAAATCTTCTTTTCAGGATTGTGTAATAAATAACCAACATCCACAGAGGGTTGAACGTAGTGCACTAAGAAAATGAGTTTTTCAGTTTTTGTCAGGATTACTTTGACATTCAGAGAAGTATGATTATTTGCTTTCTGGCTGACATGACATGATACTACTCATGTAGTATGTTTTATTAAGAGCTAAAGCTTCTTTTTTCAAACTGAGAATGAACTAAGGGGCTGCACCAGAATCCAGTAAAAAATAAATAAATAAGGGAGGATTACTTTGGAGTGTAGCATGCAAAATAGTAAATCCCCTTTAAATATAAATCTGCAGTCAAGATGTGGTCAGATTAGCTTGAGTTCAGAGGTCTGAAGAAAAAGTGACTTCTTCAGCAAAACATGTAATAGGCACGCCGGTCCAGTTTGTCCATTTCATGCTTTGCCTCTCCAAAACGTGAACATGCAGAAGTTGTATTGTGCATGCGGAAGTTGAATTACCAGCGGAGATGACGTATGAAGTTAATTTCAGGGTGCCTAATTGCCATATGTATTTACATGTAAATGCGTTAATAATGTCTGATAAAATGCTTTCCTGTGATTATTTTCATGTGGGCTTGAAATAAAATGTTTCCCTCTGTTGTTACTGCAACTTCTGCATGTGTGTCTGTTTCACATTTTGGAGAGGCAAAGCGTGAAATGGACGCAGTGGACCAGCATGACCAGCATGTAATATCTGTAATATCGGGTTGTAATGTTGGTCCAGGATCAACATTGCATCTGACCAATCACGTTGTTGTGATGTCATAACTTTGGAATGTGGAGCAAAAAGAAAAAAGAAGCTTTTGTTAATATAAAACCCTCTTCATGAAAAAAAATTATTAACATTTCCAGTGTTTTCTTTATTAATTTGAACAGTGTAATAAATATATTATCAAGTTAGGTTTCCTAGCCAGATTTATGTTACTGATATTAGTATGCCAGTGATAGTTTTTAATAGCGTTAGCTATTTTTTTGGCTAATGCTAAGACATTGTGACTCGTCAGTTGCTATGTTGATTCTGGACTACAATTGTTATGATGATAGGAGGATAGTAACAACACCAACTCGTTGATATTATGCTCAGTTTTTCCACTGAAGAAGAAGTGAAAAGCTATACCCAAATGAACAAACCAAACTGTATCAGATTTCCTTATCTTGATTATTGAACATGCACCAAATAAAGAGGCAGCTTCATTAATGTAAATGCAGAAGGCTTACAACAATGGGTGAACTGGTTACACTAAAAAAATGGGAAAAGTTCTTCGAACAGTTAATTCCAAATGTTGCAAAACTGCTCAAATGCAGTCCAATGCCCAGGTCAGCTCGACCCAGCAGAGCAGCTTTTCAGTTATTGAAGACAAAACTGACCCAGAAGCAAGCAGCAACTGAAAGTAGCAGCAGTTAAGGCCTGGAAGAGCATCTCAAGGGATGAATGGGTTCTTTCATCTAATTACTGAAAACAATCCTTATATTTAAATAATGTTAGCTTGTAGCTTGAAAATGAGTAACTGTGTGTAAACATGGCTGCAATTCCTGAACAGTTAATTCTAAATTTTTGTTACAAATCTTGAATGAAAAGTGAAAGTTCACACTTTCAGTATTATATTCAATATCTGAGGGTGGTACTTTCTTCTTTCCACCAGAAAACAAATAATTGTATTTCTCAAAATGTCCATCTGTTCCTTTAATGACGTGGTTTTTGGTCTGACTTTTTTCACTGTTTTGTTTTGTTTTGTTTAGGCAGCACGGTGGCACGGTGGTTAGCACTGTTGCCGCACAGCAAGAAGGTCCTGAGTTCAATTCCAACATCAGGCCGGGGTCTTTCTGTGTGGAGTTTGCATGTTCTCCCCGTGTTTGCGTGGGTTCTCTCCGGGTACTCCGGCTTCCTCCCACCGTCCAAAGACATGCACCTTGTGGGGATAGGTTAATTGGATAATCTAAATTGCCACTAGGTGTGAATGGTTGTCTGTCCCTATGTGTTAGCCCTGCGACAGACTGGCGACCTGTCCAGCGTGTACCCCGCCTTTCGCCCTATGACAGCTGGGATAGGCTCCAGCGCCCCCCGCGACCCTGAAAAGGATAAGCGGAAGCGAATGGATGGAGGGATGGATGGATTGTTTTGGGGGGTTTTGTGAGTGTAAAGTTACGTGTTTTTACCCCACTCCCCTTTCTCCTTCACTCTTTCTGTGTTTTCTGCTTGTTGTCACTACTCGTACTATCACTCATAGTACTTTGAGTGCTTTAAGCCTCCCCGATAGCCCTCCTGAGTCTAGTCTACTAAGCCTTATTCCAAAAATAGTGACACTGTATCCTTGGTGTACAGTGCAACGTCTGTTTCATATCAACCTCCATTCCATCATTTAGATGCACCTCACACAGTCACTGAGGCATTAAGTGAACCTGTTCTTTCTTATTTTCTCTAATTATAACTCACTTGACTCTTTCAAAACCACTGGGCGCTCAGTTATTTGGTGTCTGTGCAGTGGTGCTGAAATTATTTTTAAATTCAGCGAACAGCAGTGATTATAGCTTTTGTTGTGATTGCATTTCATTCTGTTATTGACAAGATTAATTCTGTGTGGCATTTGATAAGATAGTAATGGTGAGATTTCTGAATAGGGTGATAGTGGATCACTGAGCTATTTCATAGTCCTTACTGTGGCGATTCCTTTGTACAAAGCAAGTTTGTTTAGCAGCTTTCAAAGGTGTCTTTCTGAGGTAAATCGAAAATTACTGTTTGGAAACAGTTCAGACAAATTATATCTAAAAGCAAGGAAAAAAGGGATCAAGTCACGAAAAAGAACATGTTATTCAAGTAATGATATTCAAGTTGTGATTAATTATATCACATTCATCATTGCAAAAACAATCATTCACTTAACTGTCAGCCTACACTTAATGCTTGAATGTCGTTGTGGACGCCCTCCTGTTGTTCACCTGTGTGTCGTGTGATTTGTCCTCAATCAAAAGGTCCCGTACTGATCTCAGCGTTCTGTCTGTACTCGTCTCTGTGACGTCCCAGTCCAGGTCAGCTGGGGTTGGGTTTGTGGCATGCTCTGAAGAAAAGAGGACACTTTAAAATGAAATGCTTTTTTTTTATTTCAATGGGAATATTTGCAAATTAAGTGAAATATTTTATGCAAATGCATAAAAGTGCTGCAGGCGAGTTCTTGTGAACAGACTATAGCATTCTGTTTTCATACCCTGCAGTCTTAAAATGTGAAAATGACGCATTTGCATCATTTCTCGGCTGCTATGCCTGCCTCCGAGAGCCAGCGGCTTGGTCACTGCTGTGTACATGTATGAGTGAAATGGGCAGAATGTCGGGTTCTTGTGGTCCTTTTCTTACCTTAAACTAGGATATAGTGGACTGAGCAGCTACAATAACAAAAGTTTTCTGAATATCACTCCACACTTAGTGAGAATCTGTGTAAATTCGACATTAAGAAGTTGCTTTAATAACATATTTTACAATGAACAGAGTAAGCTTTTGTGCAGCTTTGAACTGAATTATTGTAAATATGTTTTGCCCCCTTTTAGTCCCCAAAGAGTGAGATGACTGTCCTCTCCAATTTAGTCAAAGCATTGGTGACGAGCAGCTGCTCTTCCAAGTTTTTGTTATTCACTGGACACTTGTGGCTAGACTGAGTGCCTGTGAAGTGTCTTAGTCATCGATTTGACTAACTCATAACACTTTTGCTCTCCGGCTCTGTGCGTCTGTCTCTCGTCTATCTCTCTCTTTTTTGTTTTGTTTGTACCTTCTCGTGGGTCTGTCTGTCCGTGTTTTCCTTGTCTACGACCCACCCCACCGTTCCACCCAGTGGGGCTGTGGATAAGGGTGGGCAGGGTGGTGCTGGACCCTCACCGGGGGCCAGTGACAGCGGGGGTGGTGCTTGCTCTGGGACTGGGGCAGGGCCCAGTCGCAGCGACAGCGTGCGGAGCATGGTGACGGGGGGCAGCAAGGCCGGGCGCTGGCAGACGGTCCAGAGCCACATGCATGCCGGAGGCCTGCGGTTTAGCAAGTGAGTGGCGCATGGTGACATGGGGCACGCATGAGGGGCTACAGTGGGCACAACAGCAGCATGGTGTGGCAATCAAGGAAGTGAGTCTGTAAAAATATCATGGATGGAGTAGTTGCATGTACTCTTTTTTTTGTTCTTTTTACACATTTGAAACCCTGTGCAGGTGAAGACAATGTAAAGCAGGCTTTAAAGAGAAGATGCTTTGCAGAATGCACCTGCTATGCATGAGTAACCGTTTAAACCTCTTGGCTACAGAGAGGTTCCTCACTCATAAACAAATGCCATTTTTATGTCAGCTGCCAACCAAGTGATGTTGCAGACAAAGCAAATTCACGCAGTTGTACTGTTCCTCTGCAGGCTCCAATTTGCTGAAGGCTGTAACAGTTTCAAGAATTTCAGACAAAACAGATGCTCTCTGAAGATCTTCAGAAACGACATGTTCATTCGTCTGAAGTAACAGCTTTTTAAACTCTGAGTGGGTTGCTGGATAAACAGCAGGAGAGCAGTTTTATCCGGGCTAGTGATACAAATGAACCTTCTGTTAGTAACTGCTGGATGAATATGATAAGATGATACTGTAAACAACATCATTCGATAACGGTGCTGCATAGTGGGAGGAGGTAGTAAAAGTTACCCAAAGTTTGAGCAGTTTATTGCTTGCGTTGACATGAAACTCCCTTTAATTAATCAGGGCAAAAGTCTGAAAACTGGATTCTTTTTTTGCTAAAGAGTCAGTGTGAGTAAACTGTAAATACATACAGTAAATACAAACACAAGGATGTTATCTCTCAGAAACCAAAGGGAAATATGTATACGTAAAGACTAGGGCCAAGTCACAGGATGGCCCCAGTCTTCATTTTGCGTTAACCAAAACAGTCCCAAGTTTCTAAAACTTTGAAGTAGAAATACAAAATAGACTCAGGATAGCTATTTGTTAGCTATAACCTTTCTGTGTGACCTTTACACATTCTTCCACTCATCCCAGGCCCCACTGTGACCCTTCTTTGGATAAGTGGTTAAGAAAATGAATGGATGGAATTAACAGCTGCCCTCATTGTGTGGCATTAAAAAAAGCACACAAGCTTAATGTAACAGCTTCGTTGCAGAGATAAAGATTTATGATTTGGTGTCATTTCTAGTGATGTGCGATACCACTGATTTCCTTTCCGATCCGACACCAAGTAAAATTCAGGGTGGTATCGACGATACTGATCCGATACCCATACTTTGTACAAAAACGTATTTCAGTTATTGTATCTCAAATTATAGCGTCATAATGATTACAGGACATCGGATTACTTGTTCTTATCGTTTAATAATGCACAGTTAACATATAGAAATAAAAAAACTGAAGTTGTGCGCTATTTGAACATGTTGCCTGCCTGCAGCACTAAAGGACTCTGTGAGAGACGTCTGTCTCGCCCTAGCAGCACCTGTCCCTGTCCTCCGCTTCAGTTCGCCTCAACATAAGCTCGTCATATTCTGTGATATGATTTACTCTGAAGTGCTTGATGAGGTTAGTAGTGTTGCCACAACACCTCATTTTCTTGCCACATGTATTGCAAACTACGTCTCAACCGTTTTTGTGGACGTAAAATACGTCTGCACATGACTCCATTAACGCTCAGCCATTGTTGTGAGTGTGCACACTAAGGGGCTGGACACATTTATACAGACGTACTTCGCACATGACTATGACAGGCGAAAGACTAAGTAGTTCCTTCCAATGTAGACAATCCAAATGATACAGTTTCTTTCCACTCTGTTCCTGTTAATGATAACCTACAAATTTACCCTAAATTACTAAAATATCGATATTTTAATATGAGTATCGATTCTAGAACATAAATGACTGCTATCGGAGGAATCGATATTTCAGTATCGATCCGCACATCACTAATCATTACTATACAGTGCTATGACAAAGTTTTTGCCCCTTTCCTGATTTCTTCCTTTTATTTTTTTATTATGGCATATTTGACACACTTACAAATTTCAGATAGTCAAAGAAATTTTAATTTTAGACAAAGATAACCAGAGTAAAAACAAAATTCATGTTAAGGGAAAAATGCTATCCAAGCCAGCCTGACCCTCTATGAAAAAATAATTGCCACCTAAACCTAATAACTGGTTGTGCCCCTCTCAGTAATCAATAGAGCATTTGCAATAACTGACAATGAGTCTATTATATCCCTGTGGAGGACTTTTGGCCAACCCTTCTTTGCAGAATTGTTTGTAATCCAGCCACACTGGAGGGTTTTCCAACGGTCATACCAAAGCATCATAATCAGATTTAAGTCCAGATTTTGAGTAGGACACTGACAACTTGACTTATACTGCCACATAAGCCAAGTGTCCTTGAGCTTCAGAGCATGAACTAACAGCTGACAATTGTGCTTCAGGGTTTTCTGGCAGAGAGCAGAATTCACATTTCCATCAAGAATGTCGTCCAAGTCCCGAAGCAGCAAAGCAGCCCCAGACAAGCACACTATCACCACCATGTTTGATTGTTGATATGATGTTCTTTAGATGCTCTGTTAGTTTTACATCGGCCGTAACGAGATTCAAACCATCCAAAACGTTCAGCTTTTGTTGTGTCAGTTCACAGAATATTTTCCTTAAATTTTTTGGCCAATGTGAGACAAGCTTTTTGCTCAGCAGTGGTTATCACCTTTGAACTCTTGCTTGGGTGCCATTTCTGCTCTGTCTCTTTGTGAATCATGAACTATGACCTTAAGTGAGGCCTGCAGTACTGCACTTTGGTGTTCTGGGTTTTTTGCGATGAGTCCTGGATGAGTCGTTGATGCACTCTTGGAGTAATTTTGGTAAGCCAGCCACTCCTGGGAAAGTTCACCACTGTTGCAAGCCTTGCACCTCCATTTGTGGATAATGGCTCTCACTGTGGTTCACTGGATTCCTAAAGCCTTAGAAAAGGCTTTGTAACCCTTTTCAGACTGATAGATGTCAATGACTTTGACATCTTGAGTTTTTTTTGGTCGTGTCAGACAGGTTTAAGTGATATCTTGGGGGCGGTTACTTTTTCACACAGGGCTAGGTAGGTTTGGACCCCTTTTTTTACCTTAGTAAACGAAATCACTATTTTAAAACTGCAAATTTGATGACGTGAAATATGTAAGTGTGAGAAAACATTTAAAAAAGAAATGCATGTTATCCAACAATGTAAATCATCACAAATAGTGCTTTCTAAACTACAATTAAGTGAATTTTTGCAATTATAATTTGTCAAACAAACTGGTTGCTGAAAGCTGGATTTTTTTTCAACACCTGTAGCACATACAAGATATAATGACAATAACATGTGTGAATCAAACGGTCTCCTGGAAACAGTTTGATCATTGAATTAAGAGCAGTACTCTGTAATATACAATAGATTAATAAGTGGAGCTCTACAATAGCGTTCAGCACAGTAGATGAAAGCCATCTCTCCACTCAGTCACAATTCCTTCATTACTAGCTAACTCTTCATAATACTGCCTGCCCCTGTTATTCTGATAGAATAGATTAATTAGAAACTAGGAAGCAAAACTGTGATTTCAGAATTGATATTTGCCTCTTGATTGGACTGAAGATAATAGAAACTGCCTCCATGCATAAAATGATGAATGAAAATTAGGGAACTGGAGAGCTCAGTGCACAGCAAGAAAACACAGGCAAATAAACAATTTGCAAGCAAACCAAGAAAACATCTTCACCAATTAGACAACACATGCCCTAAATGTAGGACAATGGTTCTGTTTCCTCACCTCGCAGCATTTATTGAAATTGTGCTTTCTTGTCCCTGTGCATTATGTTTGAGTGACCTTTATTTAAATAGTATACTGATATAAACATGAATTTAAATGGTAAATGGCCTGTATTTGTATAGCGCTTTACTTAGTCCCTAAGGACCCCAAAGCGCTTTACACTACATTCAGTCATCCACCCATTCACACACACATTGACACACTGGTGATGGCAAGCTACATTGTAGCCACAGCCACCCTGGGGCGCACTGACAGAGGCGAGGCTGCCGGACACTGGCGCCACCGGGCCCTCTGACCACCACCAGTAGGCAACGGGCGAAGTGTCTTGCCCAAGGACGAACTCCCAACTCTTGAGCCATGATCGCCCCACAATTAAGTTATCCCACCACATTATTCTTTACTCCTATCACTCCTCTGTTTTGTTTTCCTGCTCTTTTTAAATCCACCTGTATTTCCATTTCTCCTTTGGAATTGGTTTCTATTTTTGAGCATTTACGTCTCTCTGCCATACGATCTTTCACCCTTCACTGTTGATATTTTCTCGCTCTCCTTGTTTTTCACCCTCCTCAATTTCCCTTAATTACGAAATCATTCAAGGTTTATAGTCATCTTAATTGACTTTCAAGCAAGAAGAAATGTGAAAATAACCCTCTAAGTCAGTAATTGGATACAGCAGATAAAAAGGGACCGTGCTCAGGGTGTATGAATGACTGTGGCTGGTGCCACCGTGCCGATAAAGAAGGCAGCAATGATGTACAGTACCTGAAAGCACAATTTTAAGGGAAACCACTTGAAAAGGGCTTAGAATATTTCAAATGATAAAATTAGTCAAACTCAAGACAGTGAAAAGACTTGAAGCAGGTAATACGGCATGTGCTCAGACATCTGGCTTAATGTCACCATTAAACCATCAAGATATACTAATTTTTCATGATGTCAGCTATGATAACGTGACTATTGAACCCCCCAAAATAAGGGGTATTACACACTCACCAGACACTTCATTAGGTACTCCTGTTTAACTGCTCATTAAAGCAAATATCTAATCAATTGGTCAAATGGCAGCAAAGCAGAGTATGCTAAAGTTCAGACTGAGCATTTAGAAGAAAGGTAATTTAGGCAACTTTGAACACACATAACCTTTTTAGACTTTTACAGAGAATTGTCAGAAAAAGAGCAAGTATCCAGTGAACATCAGTTCCCTAGATGAAAAGGTTTCGTTGATGCCAGAGGTCAGAGGGGGATGGCCAGACTGCTTTGAGCTGATAGAAAGCCAACAATAACTCAAATAACCGCTAGTTATAATCAAAGTATGAAGCAGAGCATCTCTGACCGCACAACACAACAAGCCGTGAAGCAGGTGGGCTACAGCGGTAAAGGACCAAGAACAAGTTAAGAACAAGAAACTGAAACTATAATTCTCATGGGATGACCAAATATGGACAACAGAAGATTGGAAAAATGTGGCCTGGCCTGAGGAGTTGGAATTTTTGCTATGACTTTTAGATAGTGTGGTCGGAATTAGACATAAACAATATGAAAAATCCCATCTTGTATCAGTTGCTCAGGCTGATTCTTGTGTAATGGTGTGGGGGATACACATTTTCTGCCCTTCAGTACCATCAGTGGCCTCAGTTAGCCTAGCCTACCAAGTAATGGTACTCAAATGGCCTCTACAGTCACTAGATCTCAATCCAATAGAGCCCGTTTGAGTTGTAGTGAAATGGGAGATTCACACAAGTGAATGTTGACATGCTGTCATGCCAGCATGGACCAGAATCTCAGAGGAATGTTTCCAGCACCTTATTGAACCTGTGCCACCAAGAATTTATGCATTTATGAGGACAAAAGAGGCTTCAACTCATTACTAGAAAAGTGTAACTAATGAAGTGTCTGGTGAATATAGGGGTGTTAAAGGTGTTAAGTCACCTTCTTATTTTGGCTATACCAAAGTTAGCTGCAAATTTTAGTTCATTTGCTCAAATCATCATGCAGCAATAACGTAGGTCATCAATTTCCTCTTTTAACATCCCATTTTACACCTGCCCACCTGTCCTGCCACATGCCAATTCCTTTATCTGAGGAACAATGCATCCTGTAGAGTAAAACACAGCCAGACAATCAAATTCATCAAAGCTAAGAATCCTTATAAAATACATTACCTATAGTAAAAAATGCTAAAAGGTTTTAAATTAATTGAAGCTAAAATTATCAGAGCACATATAAAGGGATGATCTACTGTAACAGTGTACTGTTATTAAAAATATATATTCTACATATTCTTGGTGTACAAAGACTGTGTAGCTCAGTACAAAGACTCATAAAAGTTTAAATGTTTAGGTTCAAATGATTAATTTAGAAGTTGTGCGATTATATTTTAGTTATTTCATGTTTATGCTTGGATAAGTGGTTGTGTGAACTGTTTGTGTTAAGATTTAAGTTGTTCATATTTCTTACATGAATATCTAGCTTGAAATTCTTTTTCCTCATCAGAGCTCTAAATATTTTTTTCTTCTAATGATGATCATATCTTCAAAACAGTTTTGCCCTAATGACGTAGATTTATGTCATAGTTTTTGACTTTTTACTGAAAAATCGGACTTCCTGATTGCTGTTGCTCACCTGTTGCACTGATTATTCAAGCTGGGATAATCCAAGCCATGAAAGTGCTCCTGCTAACAGTCGCCCATAGCTGTTTGTGTAGGAAAATAAATAAAAAAGTCAAACTTCTGGAACCCCAAATGCCCTCCTCCCACTTCAAAACCGTATAATTCTGCTCAACAGAAATCCGCCAAATAACTTTTATACATTAATTCACATTTATTCAGTTCGAATATTAGGCACAAGTAAACAAACACACTCATCAAAGTCTCTCCCCAGGAAAGATCGAATGGTGTGCTCCGTGTGCGTTTGTATGAGAGAAAACATGCATGCATCAGAGCATGTATATGAGCCCTGTCTTGTATTTACTTGATCCAGCATTGCACTGCTCCTCAGGGTGCTTGTCTCCTGGCTCTCCAACAGAGTCAGAGCCGAGGTAATACCAAAGAGCGCTGCTGTACACAACTCAAGTCCAGGCAGTAAATCCTCCCTCACTGCATTAGCTTCAGACAGAGCTGTTTAGCACAAGCTTACAGTCATCAGGCAGGGCAGTGATTGAGGGGAGGATAAGGGGTGAAGCACTATTACATGCTTGTAAGAGTAGCAGACCTGTAATTAGAGGGCAGACTTAAGGAACGGTGATTGGAGGTGGTGTGGCTATAGAGTGATGTGAGGGCTGAGGGTAAAGAAAAGATGAATAGGCAGAGGAGAACCACAAAGGTAAAAGGAAGAGCTGCGAGTGAAAACATAGCAGGAGCCGACAGGACCTTTGAGAAAGATTGGTGGAAGCAAAAGGGAAGAAGGTAGAAGTAGGTCAAGGCTAATTAGGGAGATAGATAACGGAGAGAAAGAAATTCAGCACTGCAGATAGAGAGCCGAGTCTCAAGTGAAGAGATAGTGCTACTATACCTTAAGCTCCAATTTAATTCCACTTAACGCTGAGGTAGGAACCATGTTTGTAGAATCATAAAAGGGGAAAAAAGAACCTAATAACCTTTCAGTATATTGTAATTACAGTGGTCTTGGGGGGGGGGGGGGGGGGGGGGACTAGACTCTTGCACTTCTTGTGCTCTAATCAGACGTTGGAGAATCGAGCCCGTGATGGGAGACCGGACCAATCAGATCTTTTCAGACCTGATCACAGGAGTAATGTAAAGTAGAATAAGAGTCCAAGTCCACACGAGAATTAAGATGTTGGAGGTATTAGTGGTTAACTGGAGAACTTTCAGCTGGGAGAGCTGGGTTCATGTTCCTATGTGAAGTTTAAAGTCAGAGTTGATTGTGTGAGCAAATGCTCATATGCTTGATTGCTGGGAGGGAGTTGGCACAAGAAGGAAGAGCTGCAGGAGGAGATCTGTCTATGTTGAAGATTCACCCTTTCTAGATTTCTGCTGCAGTTTTAAGACCTGATCCCACTGAATGCATCACGCACAACAACAAAAAATCTCCCAAACTATGACCGCTGAACACATCAGAATGCAACTCATCAGTTTGTTTGCTCATAGACAGACAGACTGCCTTCGTGTGTTTTCTTTTAATGGGCTTATTAGACAGCACTAGCTGCTCGTTAGTGGAACAGCTGGCATGATGGGCATTTAGATTCAATGTAGAGTCACCCATGTCACTCCCTGTGAAATAAATTGATAATTTTGTTTGGCTTTCGTCATTTTATCAACCTGAAGGACAGCTGCAAAGAGGACTACACCCTGATTTTGGCATTCTGATGCTGCAAAATGTGCATTTCCAGTGGGACCAGTGTCACTGGCTGCAGGTTTTTAATTTGTCTGTGATTCTACAAAAAGCAGAGGTTTGTTTAGTCGCCAGTTTGGATATGAATGATATGTTGTATGCCAGACTAAACACGTATGGTCTGCTAGGCAAGATAAGGCAAAAATTCAGCACAGCTGTTTTCTTGCAGATGTTTAACAAGTATCTCAAGCTTGTTGTCAACTCCTTCTTTACTGATCTTTGCTCTCTCTCAAGTCTCTCTCCCTTGGATAGTCACTGCAGACTCCTAGAGTTCAGTCAGTGCTGTGCTTATGTATGTTTTGGCCATTTTTATCCTCTCTTCCTTTTGATATCAACATAATAACATGTTACAAATTTGTTTTATACTTTCATCTTTCACCCTTTCATCTCAAAACGGCCTGCTCTTTCTTCTATATTCCCATTACGTATCTCTAACTCCATTTATTTCCTTTTTTTTGTATCCATCTCTGTCCTCGGTGTTCCCATGTATCCGTTCAGCTTTGGGGACGCTTCCCTTTCATCAGCTTCCACCCTGGAGCACATCCCGTCTTCAGCTGTGGCGCGCCCTCGGCCCCTGGTCCGGCAGCAGAGCCTCCAACAGCCCCTCACTCACCAGCCTCCTCCGGGTCCCAACGACCCCCCAGTCACCTCGCAGAGTCTGGGCCAGTTGCACACAGGCCCAGGCGGGGGGGGCCACCGTGGGGGCCCGCGGGGGGTCCGGGGGAGTCCGGCTGGAGCCTCCCGGTACAGAGGAACAGGGACAGGCCGATCAAGGTCAAATCCAGGCAGCTGGGACCACATGGTGGAGCAAATCCGAACCCGAGGTCTGGATGTTAAGTCGTTCCTGTAAGTACTTTACTTTCCTATAAGTAAAGTTGAGGATCATATGTGCAGCACTGCAAATACAAATTTATTAAATTTAGTGCACCATTTTATTGTAGTCTCTTAAATCCTGCCTTCAGTTTTCAAATTATCGTTTGTGTCCTGGAGTGTGATCTGTGGCATTGTCAGTCTTCAAATCCTGTAAGTAATAGTATAAATAGTTGAATGTGAAATTACTTTGTAAAATAAAAGTTCTGCTTTCAAAAGTGTACCGAAATATAAATGTTTAATATTACTCATAACAAGAGAAGTATAGCAGGAATAATAAAATGGACCCGTGAGTGTCGCACTAATACATAATTATCACTATATCATTAATGTTTAAATAGCTTTTTGCTGCTGCAGGTGGTTGACGGGGCTAATTTGAACTGTTTTAAATGCACCACATTTGTGGTTAAGTTGATAATAAATCATCTCTGTATGTAAAAGTAGTGGATCAAACTTCCTTCTGAAATGTAGGCAATTAGAAGGAACACACTCAAATTTTAAATACTCAAACAAGTAACTCAAACGTTGCATCCTACTGCTGGAACGTGGTGCTGTTAAATCTTGTTGAGTGCTGCTGAGAGGTGTTTTTGTTCGCCCCCCTTTTTTTCACTCATGCCTGACAAAATAAAGCTCTCAGTATAAAGCACCAGAAACAGAAAGAGATTCTTCATGAGTGTGGGATTTCTTGAAGGGCTGCCGAATAAGCTGTGGTCTAATAAAGTGACAAAATGGCAAAGCGTGTGCCTTTTACACAGGATGGAACCAAAATCAACTGCAATCCTCTACGGTCTCTGCAGAACTTCAATTTATTAATTTTGATGAGGTTGTCCCCTAGAGACTCATTTAAATGATTATTTTCAGGGTGTAGTGATATTAATATGCATGTAGTAGAAAAGGTGTGTGTCGGGCATCAAGGGTTTTAACATATTAGTTTTTCATTGCTGTTAATTGCCAATCATGTAAATGTCTCAAATAATAGGTGATATTATCTTCTCTTAAGGTATTTTATAATCACTTTCTAATGTTCTTCAGCTCCCATTTACATTTATTTGTGTTTATTTACTTGTGTATAGTTTTAAATTTTACAAAAAGAGCGCTGGCACATGCAAAAGTTCAGATTTAACATCTGTTTATTATCATATATTTAATATATTTTTATAGTAATTCCAGCAGGTCATAAGAAAAACAAACTTGATTTAAACTTGTCTGGTCTGGAACTGTGCATCACCACAGCATGCATATATTAACTACACAGCAGTACCATAAAATACAAACTTCTGTTTTTTTCCCTATTACGTGCATCTTTTATGTCTTGATTTAGGTGGTATAAAACAGCCAGATACCGCAGGATAGCGTTAGGCCTAACAATAAAATAAACAATCTTTAAATATTCAGATTTCAAAACTTGTTTTCTTCTAAAGTTTTTTTCAAGACAGACTGATAAAAAAAAATCCAATCATAAGCAGAAATCTTATAACAAGCCCAACCTGGGTTACAAAAAAATAAAGCAAAGTTAGCCAAAGTCACGAGTGATTTTTCAACACCAATTTTCCAACTCATTCTTCACTGAGTAGAGAAGCTTCTGGTGTGCGATGGTCAGTGATTGTTTTTTGATACCGAGCATGGAGAGCCTTCCTCCACCCCTTAGCTTGAGTGATAGATTACAGATGATGTGCTCTGCAAAGCAGCCTCATGTAAAAGCTCTCCTTCCCGCCTGACCGCAAACATAGATGCTCACACACATCCATACACATAGCTCTTTGCTCTGTACCTTTTACATGTCCGCCCATTAGCAGTGTCTCCGGGGCTATTGACCTCCCTGCCTATGTGAATCATCATTCAAATAAGGCTGTGTACATCATGCACACGAAGGTGGTTGTCCCTGTCCTCGTGAATCTCGTTGGACCAAACACGCCAGCGGTTGACCCTGGAGGTGGTGGGAGAGGGAGACGTGGAGGTGGGTGGGGGCAGTGTGGGTATCATGCATTTGTGATCAGTGGTGTATAAACAAGCAAAAGCAGCAGTTTCACCCTCCAGCTGTGACCATACCTGTCACGCAGTGTGGCATCTGAGCTGCTCCCCTTTCATTTTCCGATCAATAGACCTGATGTAGGTGGCAATGATTTCAGCGTGGAGCACGTGTGTCTTTTTTTGGTCATTTATATAAATCCATTCACTTTATCGATGAGCGTCATGTAGATGCTGTTTACACATCCCCAGTGGGCTGCAGCCTCTCAAGTACTAATGTGTTCCTCTTGTTGTCAATACTACTTCAACAAAGAGCACCTTGTTTGGTCGGGAGCACTCCAGAGAGTGGGGACAAAAAATATGAAATGTGCAGAGATGAGAGGAGGAAGATCAGAGAAAAGCTAAGAAGAAACTGGAAACATCAGGAAGGAGATAAGATTCATTTTAAAAAAAAAAAAAATCTTTTGATCCTATTTAAATCTATTTATGTTTCTAAGCTACATGCACGTCGACACGTGAAGTCAGCGCTGCCAACGTGACTGGCTCGCTGCTGCAGGAGTTAAACTTTTCCAGTTAAATTTTTGAGAGAAAATAAACATTTGGGTCTCTGCAATTTCATTAGCACCCACCACTATCTGTTATTCACAACAAAGGCATTCAGATAAACGTAAGACAGCACCTAATCCACCAAATAAAAAGTAAATAAATAAATAAATGTGAGGCTGAATCTTTTATAGCTAAGCCTAAAACTAAGCCAGCTGATGTTAAGGGCTGCAAGACATCAGAAAAAAAAACATGTTTTGAAGTTGGATTTGGCTTTTAAGGGAAGAGGTAGTGGCGAAGAATACTATATGTTAAGGTTGTCCTTGGATCATGCATGCTATGGTAAAGGGTTGTAAAAAATGAAAAATAAATGTGGTGAACGGAGAAAAAAAGCTAGAAGAGTGTACAATATGTACATACATGTGACTTACTGTCTGTGACTGTGAATCACAAGGTTAGTTGTGGGCAAATGCTCATTTGTTAAGGGCACTGTTTGCATGGCTTTGAATTCATGGCGCAGTGTTGTTCAGTAAAATGCATTTTGGATGATTTCAGGCTTGTTTAGAGAGACAATAACAGCTGCAAATGAACATTGTGTTTCTTTGTTGCAGGTATGCTTGCACCTCTGTTTTTGTGGATTTTCTTTTTTCTTTTTGCTTTGCATGTCATTTGCATGTCATTTCAGGTGATTCTGTTTTTCTCTGAGACAATCCAAACCTTTCTTTTAGGGTTTTCTGTACAAATATTAGCATATTTATTACTCACAGAGGCAACATACAGTGGTGTTAAAAAAATGTGATCGCCCCCACTTATTTATCAAAAGTTATTCGTTGTTGAACATCACTTTTGTTATTCTCTAACAAACAAAAACAATAGTAAATGATAGCCACATATACAATGTCAGTGCAGTGTTGTGTCAGTGTTAATGAACTGAAGAAATTCAGCTTTGAAGCAATAAATTGGCTGAAAAAAATCTCTACTCATCCTAATGCTACAGCATACAGTACATTAGGCAATCAGAGGGATTACACATTATCTGAAATGTTACAAAACTTTAATGTAATTCAAAGACCGGGTGACTTTTCTTTGCAAACTCACGGCCTCGATGAGTTAATGGTAAAGAACAAAACTTCCCTAATAACTTAAGGTTTAAATCATTTGTGTAACAAACAGCACTGATAATAAAACCAAAGAATGAATAAATACTAACCTGGGATCAATGAAAGGTTCCGAATTAATTGTGCTTCCTTGTTACCTTTAACAAGCACACATAATCTACACTGCCAGACCAATAATAAATCACCACCTTCAGCTGAGAGCCTTATATTGGCTAAATTGCTGTGTAACCTTAAGAAAAACACTTATCAATGAAGCTAATTAGAAAAAAATGTATATGGGTCAGTGGGAAAAGGGTATCATCAGGGCAAGAAGAGCGGCAGATGGATGCACCCATGATGCTTAGTGACTATCATACAAGCCTGTTGGGGCGGTGTTATCGCCGGGGGTTGCTTCAGTTGGTCAGGCCCAGGATCAGCAATCTTAGGTGCCCAAAAATGAGATAAGCCCCAGACCAGGATGACCCGGTTCTCCCATTAATGGATTTTTTTCTTCCATGATGGAGCCGGCATATTCCATGATGACAATGCCAGGATTCATCAGGCTCAAAGTGTAGAAGAGTGGTTCAGGGAACATGAGAGATCATTTTTACACATGGATCTGCCACCACAGAGCCCGAACCGTAACCTCACACAGCGATCCATTTCTTGTGTAAATTAATGCAACTCTCAACAGAAATAAATATAGTGATATTGTGTAACCTTATATTATGTAATGGTAAATGCATGCTGCCGTCAAAGCTAAAGGTTGTCCAACAAGGTATTATTTTCTTCTGGCTAGAAAATGTATATTAGTGTAAAAAAAATATATGCACATCAAACTAGCTGGCAGTCACATTTGGAATAAGGGGTCAGGTACAAAGGTACATGTCATGCATTAAAAACGAAGTGTTTTCCAAATTCACTATAAGAAAATTACATTTTTGATAACCAAAACTGTCAGGAATACAAGCATTCATGTCCTATTAAAGAGCCTTTGTATCACTTCGTAGCTCGCAGGTTTGGATGAGAGACATTTAAAAGTGCAGTTTGGATTGAACATATGTTTAAGATGAAATATAATAGTGTCCTCACAGCAATCTACCACCTCTCTCCCACTCTCTGTCTTTGTACATGAATTGTGTGCCGTGTGTATCTGTCGCTGCTTGTTTTTGTGTTTTTTGGATGTGTGTGCCCCTGTGCCTATTTGCCCACATGCCTCTATGGTCTTGTGATGTCCTGTCTGTCTGTCTGTCTGTGTGCGTGTGTGTCCAGTGAGGGGAAGATGGTTGTTCTGTCTCTAGCAATCGGGCTGGCTGAACAGGATGACTTTGCCAACCTCCCAGATCTACAGGAAGCGCCAGCGAGCAAAGAAAATGAAACCACACCAGAGAAAAGGTAATGAGAGAAAGAGAGAGGGGAATGTGAAGAATGTGAGTTGTTAAGCACAAAAACAAAACGAGCAGCCGAAGTAGCTGCTTGTCATACGGTGAAGAGGTGTGTAATGGATTGTAATTTTAAGCGGGGCAGGGCTATTTATCTCCACTGTGGTGATGAAGGAGTGCGCACCGTACAGTAGAGTCACCTGAAAGATCAACACTTCATGGCAATTTTAGTCTTGCTTGAAATGCAAATTATTCATAATAACACTACCACTAAGTAGCATATTACAAACCAACAGTTATGTATTTACTGTTCTCATAAATTATAACTGTATTTAAAGATATAGACCTTCTTTCAATTGTAAGGTTTCACATTATCAAGACTTGGTAAACATAATCTGGTCCTTAGCAACTGTTACAATGAGCTAAATATAACTACAATGCATTACATATTACACTGTGTGATTTTTTACTTATTTAACAAAAACTAAGCCAAAGTACAGATGCAGTGTGTGAAAGATTAACTACACCTTTATAGCTTTTATAGTGATTTAAAGGGTGAGTAACAGCCAGGTGCTGGTAATCAAGTGCAGTTTGATTAGATATCATCAGTAAGTGTGAGCATCACTATATGAAGGATTATATGGCCAATTTGAAGTCTGTCATTCTACAGTGAGAAAGATTATTCTCAAGCAGAAAACATTCAAAACATTCGCTAATCTTCCCAGGAGTGGACATCCCAGCAAATTCGCCCCAAAGTCAGATTGTGCAGTATTCTGAGAAACTGTCAAAAGAGCTAGTTAGCATCAGTTAGCATCAGTTAGCATCCTAATTGTTAAAGTTTATCATGGTACAGTTAGAGAAAGACAGAACAGTATGGCTTATTTGGAAAGGTTACCAGGAGATCAGCTGTTCTCTTTAGAAGAACATGGCAACGCAGCTAATGTCTGCAAACGTAAATCCGAGCTAACGCACAAGACTTCTGAAGCAGATGATGTTCGCAGTCGTGTTTGGTGAAAGCCAAACACATCAGCACAAACACCCCATATCAGCTGTTAAGCACTGCGGTGTTTGTGCTGTGCTTTGTTTGGCTTTCACCACACTGGGCGATGATTTGTGCTTGTTTTGGACCCACAGGACCTCTGGCACTTTGCAGCCGTTGAGTCGACCATGCTAGAGTCAAATGTGAGGCCATCTGTCTGACAGCAAATCTGCAAAAGAATGATTGAAAAGAAAAGAAGTGCTTCAATGGCCCAGTTCAAAGCCAGTCCTCAGCCTCATTAAAATGTTGATCTGGGACTGTGAAACACCTGTGTACGAATAAATCTTCACAAACTTCCAAGGATTGAAGCAAAATGTAAAGAAGAGCGGGCAAAAATTCCTCCACAAAAATGTGAGAGGATGATAACGTCCTACAAAGGAGCGATTGCTTCGAGTTTTTGCTGCTGAAGGTGATTCTAGAAGTTGCTGAATCGTGGGGTGTGCTGGGGTGTGTTTCACACACTGTTTCTATAGTTTGGCTTAGTTTCTCTTAAACTTTCTGTTAAATAACGACATGGTCTAATATGTCGTGTTTTGTTGTTCATCTCAGGTTGTATTCATTATATTTTATGACCTGGTAGGGATCAGGTTTAAAATGTCCTGGTGTGTAGAGTCTTAGAACTTAAAGAAAATTGATCAGGGGTTGTACTTTCTCTTTACTCTGACAGACCTGTGAACTTTTTATATATGTAACCTTATTGTTATTTCAAAGCCTATACTGCCAGCACTGCAATTCTGTTTAATAGTATGTCCTTTGTCTTTTTTTCCAAATAAAATAAAAATGTTCAATCTAAAAACAAGCCAGCCTTTTAAATTCCACAATGTACAGTCTACTTCTGATGTAGTTATTTTGCATTGTGTAAAACTTCAAAGCATTTGGGTATTAAGATTGTTAATCATCTTACAACAGTATCAGTGTCACTCCCAAATTCATTCTGCAGTCTGACAATAAGACCAACATGCTGCCTCAGTCGTAGAGAGCTGCAGCAGGAAACTTGCAGCAGATGGTCTAAACCCCACAGAGCTCTGATCTCAAAATCACAGAGTCAGTCCGGGATTACCTGAAGACAGAGGACAGTGAGACAGACTGTGGCAAGTTCCCCCAAGATACTTGATACAACCTGTCTGCTGTATAACAGTATAAAGAATAACTGTGCATAAGTGTGGTGCTGTCTGAAAGGTTTATTTAGTGTTGTGCTTTTGTACAAAGGTAACTAATCAAAATACTCATGGCGTTTTCTTTCTTTTTTAATCACCCAAACCTTTAGTGTCTTTTCACTCCTCTGAGAAATTCACCCAGAAATAATACTAAAAAAGTGTCTTTGGTATTCTCAGTGGGCAGCCCTGCTTGGTACATTTATATTAGCTGGGTTTCTACCTTTAATTATTAGGTTTTTCCAGCTTCCAGCACTAAAGAGCTTTCATTTCTTTTGCCTTTATTTTTACCTTTATGTTTTCTCAAATTTCTGTTTTGCATACCCACATTTTGAGTTCCTTTATCCCATTTTTCATGGCCTGTGTTTTCTCCATCCAGACCTCTGATGGTTGGCTTGTCTGCATCTCTTCACTGGTGGTTTGATCTTTGAGTTGCAGGCATACGGGAAGGGCACCCTCATTATTTAGGAGTAAGATTCCTCACATGAAACACCCGTCTAAAAATATGCTAACCTCTCATCTACCAGTGATCTCAGAGCAGCCGTCAGAGACTAGCACAGTTTCTCAGCTAGTGAACAAAGGACTGAACAGGCTGCTCGCTTATCGCATCTGTGTTTGACGGATAAAGTGCTTATCCCACTGTTTTGACACTACTGGGCAGAGGATAAAGTAGAGGTGTAGTTCATCATAAAGGTGCAGTTTTTTTTCGAGGGCTCTGTCTGTTTGTTATGTTTTGTTTACCTTTGCAGAAATTCTGCTTTTGAATTGCATTAAGTTTCTTAAATGCTCAGAGTTTTCCCAAAACCTCTCTGCAGTGCATATTAGTGTGCCGTTCTAACTAGGTCAGCTGTGAATTTGCGGTTGATGGAAAACCAGAAGTCTCTCTTGGAAGAAAAAATGTGATAAATGTTTCTTCTTCCTAATGTTATTGCTACAATTATCCTTTTATTTTTTTCTTTTAAAATTTAATATCAAATATCTAAGGACAAGTCAGGGAAGAGGACTAGCCTACCTCTTGTCCCCATGCTCTCTCCCTCTAGCTGTCTGGAGGTCTGTCAAGCACCCAACTCTAATCACAGCCAGCCTGCGAGCCTCTACCCAGAGGGCTTGCGTGGGCCAAGTTGTCTAGTGTCCTTCCACAGCTAATAACAGCTCTCCATCATCATCTCTGTCCATCTCCCTCATCTCTCTTGTCTCTCCTGCTACCTCTTAAGCTCCCTGTGCCCGTCTGTTCACTTGCTCCTGGCCGTTTTCACAGCGCCCAGCAGCCTGAGTACGACGCAAAGAGACGTTCCGGCCAAGAATATATCCATGACAAGACGAGAAGCCGTCAGACAGAAAGCGCGGGAAACCTTTGTTCTCCGCTTTGCAGAGAAATATTCAGCAAGATATAAATACACACACCCATGGAGGTCTGAGATTCTGTTTGTTTATTAATGAAATCAAGTACAGCTCAGAGCACAAATATCTACAGACGTCTAATCTGATAACAGAGAAATGACAGGATAGAGACAAACGCAGTGTGTGCTGTGTATTAGCACAGATCCATATTTGTTGAGACAAGGTTAGTAATTGCGAGCAAAAGGAACATACTGTAGCACTAATATTATAATGAGTATGTTAGCTCAAAGTGCATTCATTCAAATATATATATATATAGAGAGAGAGAGATATTTGGTCCATCTGATCAGCGAAGTCCAATATTCACTCTTAATTTAGCTCTCATTCTCTACTGTGTCCAGACACTTGTTGCTAACTTTGTCACGCTGCCATCAGTGCTGGGCAGGTAGCGTACAACAGATGCCTGATGGAAACAAGCTTGATGAAAGCAGCGGGACTGAACCAAATCACTGAATGCGTGGGCTGCTAAACATCTCTGTAAGGGCAACTGCAGAGCCGATGATGACTCTTTGTCAGTTCAGTATTCTGGGCTATCTCTTTCACAGTAGGCAGAGTCATTCGAGCCATTAATATGAAAATATTAGTGCAGCTTTAATGTGTTTCTAGGATTCAGTCACTAGTTGCTAATCTACATCATCTCAGCTGCAAAGCAAATTATTGGCACGAATCATATCAGAGCCCCTCATCCAAAGAAAAATATGTCTACAATAATAAAAAGATCTATCTTTTGTCTGCTCCATAGCAGCAGACCGCAGCCGCCTTTAAAAAAATGACTATGGAGTTAAAATAATAAAAATGTTAAATGACAGTAAGTGTGATGATCCAGACATCTGTGGTCACAGCACTGAACCAGCTACTGACAGTGACTAATACCAGCTGGACGCAATAAAAAATATCATATGATCAATTTGTCGCTTGGATCACTTTTACGTAACAAGGCAACATTTTGTTTTTGTCAAGTGAGAAAGCATTCGTTGCTTTCGCACTCAACAAAACCTGCAGCAAAAGCGTCTTATTGAAAATGGGATAAATGGCTCATGATAAATGGAAGAAAATCCCAATTTCAGAATAAGCAACGATAACCTAAAGGACGTATATGTCATGGTCTGGCTGGCAGACCGTGGGGATGTGTGGGGAAGGAGGACCCAGGCACGGTGCTCTATGTACAAACAGTGTTTATTTACAGAGTGAAATAAACAACGTAACAATAAATCCCCGTGTTCAGCCAGACTCCCGTGTCGTGTCTCCCGTGAATGGTCCGTGTTTTCTGTGCTCTCTCCGCTCCCGTGTCAGCACCCCCCGGTGCTCGCTGCTCTCTTGTCTTCCACGCTGCTCCTGCGGGAAACATAAGACGCAGCCGTCAGGACACATACAACTGCGGGCATGCGCACACACACTAACTTAATAACAGGACGACTA